TTTTTTTTTTTTTTTTTTTTTTTTTTTTTTTTTTTTAATTGTGCACATAGCGCACCTTCCTCAGCGCGCACACCGCGCACGGCGCTGCGCGCGCTGTCATTCGAGCGCACAGCGCAGTGCGCACCGCCCTGCACCACACTGCGCACTCGTGCGCCGCAACTATGTTGCAAACCAGTTGCGACGCAGCACACGAGGCGGCAAAAGTTGCTTCGCTTAGAGTTAAATTTCCTTACATTAAGGTCACAGTAGCATCCTCCTGTTTCCTATGATGACCTTCGCGCTGCAGACAGCCGCAATCTACCCTCAGGAAAACAGTTCTCAGGGCGTACTCACACTAGCTTCATCTTAAGTGTATTACTGACCGCTATTACGGACGGATCCGGATGCAGCTGACCACAATTACGTCCATAGATAAGTTAAAAAATTGTAGTGTGAGTATGCCCTCATAATAATACTCGTGTGACCCGAAGAGATCTCAGAATTTTCTTTAACACTGGCATCTGCACAGGTGCTATCATCATCAAAAGGAGTGTCTTATGTTCACTTCTTCTGGTGAAATATCCATCCTCTGCTGGGTATCTATTCTCACTTCACTGCTCTTCTGTCCTATTTGTCACATGTGACACACATGTGACACTGCTAGCTTGTCCAGCTTGTCCCGAGTTTCCAGTGACAGACTGCTCGCGGGCAAAGTGCAGCTGCATGGTGAAGGAGAACAGGTACGTGGAGCTCAGACATTGTGAAGGAGTACATGCTGCTAACACGTACCGAAGGTGCCTTGCTGCTATGCGAGATAGATTCTGGTGACAGACTGCTCGCGGGCAAAGTGCAGCTGCATGGTGAAGGAGAACATACAGGTATGTGGAGCTCAGTCATGGTGAAGGAGTACATGCCAGTAACACCTACCTACCTGAGGTGCCTGTCTGCTATGCGAGAGATCAGGAGTTCAATTCCCTCCCTGCAGTTCCAGTGACGGATTGCTCGCCGGCAAAGTCCATCGGCATGGTGAAGGAGAACAGGTACGTAGAACTCACAGACATGGTGAAGGAGAACGTGCCGCTAACACCTACCTACCTAAGGTGCCTGGCTGCTACAGGAGAGATCGCCAGTTCAGTTCCCTCCCTGCAGTTCCAGTGACAGACAGCTCGCAGGCAAAGTGCAGCGGCATGGCGAAGAAGACCACGTTAGGTAGGTGTTAGCGGCATGGCGAAGGAGAACACGTTAGGTAGGTGTTAGTGGCATGGCGAAGGAGAACAGGTACATGGAGCTCAGATGTGATGCAGTTTGATTTCAGTTTTAGATGGAGTAACATCCCCTTTACTGATAAGGGTGGTCTTGGATCTGTCTGCGGCACTGCAGGGAGGGAATTGAACTGGCAATCTCTCGCGTAGCAGCCATGCACCCTTTTTTCTTTTAATTTGTGGCATGCAACTTTCAAGTTCGGATGTCCGTCTTTGCAGAATTTCAAGCCCTGCATCGTGCCAATGTCATAACCTTCGCACTATTCAGAATGTGTGAGGTGCAACTTTCATGTTCAGGGACGACGGCGTCACCTTTGCGTTTTACAAGTAGACGAATTTTGGCAAGGTAAGTTCAGCAAAGGTATGCGAAAGGCCATCACGGATGGCGCTATGCGAGTGGTCATCATGGATGGCGCTGTGCGAATGGTCATCGTGAAGCTTGCTATGTGAATCATCATAGGCTTTTAGCAAAGTCACGCGGGATATGTGCACGGGGTGGGTGGATCAAGGTGTTGCCCGATCATGCCGCGACGTCTGTTCACATAGTGTCCTCCTACCCAGGGAAACTGTTTTTTTTTTGTTGTCCCTTTTTTGGGAGCTAAGCGAAAACTTGAGAGTTGTCCATTGATGTCCATTATTATTCCACTGCGTGACATTGGGGTTTTCTTGGTGAATTTGACACGCAAAGTGTTTCATAACGTGTGAAGTCACTGGTTCAAGGGAGTATTGCTGTGTGTTCTCACATTTTTACTGTCATGTAGAGGAGCTCTGAAGCACCCAGGCATCAGACTAGGCAAAGTGATTAATCTAATAGTAACTTGAAAATTGAAATAGACAAATCACTATTTGAAAAACATACATAGCAGCCAGGGTACAGAACTCGAATCCGAGAACTATTCAAAGGCAAGTTCGCACCTGCTTTGTTCTTCTCCAGCACCTTGTTGTTCCTAAATAGGAAAGGTCCACCGTACAGAGACAAGGTCCTACCCCGGCAGGTCGGGTCGGGCCATGGCACATAGTAGTGGTAAGGTCAGTGCGCACCCAGTTCGGCACAACGTGTCATTTTCAGGCATGGAAATGATGGAATGCATCTGGTCGAACTGGTGTTTCAGATGGGGCTCCTCCCCCCGGATGAAGTGCGTTTGGATTTCTGAAAGTTGCTGCCTGGAGCAGGGTGTGAGGAGAGGGAAGGCTTGTTATTACCTGGAAAAGGGTGTCAAGAGAAGGAAGACTCGCTTGTAGCTGGAGGCTGGAGGTGGGTGTGAAGAGACGGAAGGCTTGTTCGTACCTTTTGCCAATCCACTCGTTCCTTATTGGAACTGAAATGCACTACAGTGCAGAGAGTGATCGGCATGATGACCCGCCATGTTCAAGGAGTGGAAGGAACCTGGAATGCACCATGGTCCAGGAGTGGAAGGAACCTGGAATGCACCGTGTTCCAGGTTCCTTCCGCTCCTGGACCTTCGTTGTACCCATTTCAGAGAGTGATCGGCATGATGACCCACCAGTTCCTCTGAGCCTCATTTTCCCAATGCGCAATCTTGTCCAACCCCATGAACCGCCGACCCGTTGTGGGGGTTGTCATGGCCCGACCTTTCCACCAAGCCATTGTGGGGGTCGGGAAAAATCGACCATCAGGTGGACCACCGAGCCGTTGTGGGGGTCAGGCCTGGAAATGGAAGACATTTGTGTCGCGTTTGTGCAAAGGGAAAAGATATTATATCATTTTTAAATGATTTTTTAAAAATATTTTAATGACCTGCAAAATCGCAGACTGAGAAACTTGCTGTTTTATGAGTTTTGTGGCAAATTTTGCCACTTGTTTGAGTGACTTGCTGAGATTTTTCCGTATTCTGCTGAGGTTTCTAAGTTTGTGTGTGAGCGTGATTGCTGAGTCTGTGTGTGTTTGCCTGTCTCATGATTGCATGGGTGTGTGTATGACCCGCGGGGTTACTTGTCTGCTCGAAGTGCCACGGGCCTGGTGTACTTACCTGTGGCCGTGTTCAAGTTTTGTTGTGTGGGTGCAGTGGGGTAATAGCATAGGAAAGGCCCGCGAACGACGCGAAGGCCAAAATCACTCAAGTCGTGGGTAGGTAGGCAGAAGTAGACACAAGGTTTGTACCTTGGGAGGCCATAGTAGAATTTAGAGTGCAGTGGCCAGGGCTCTTCCAGCCGTAATGGGAAGAGGCTAGGCGTGGGTATTCTTGTAAGTGATTGATAATATGAGCCTTGGCCCTTGGGCACTGGGCCCCCCTGCTTTTTCAAAAAAAAAAAAGAAAGAATTTCAAAGAAAGAATTTACTAATTTAGAGTCCGCTAGGCTTAGAGAAAAAGGTACCAGTCCACGAGGAAAGTAGCGTGTGTTGATAGTGGAGTGGAACTGATGCACAGGAGAAAAACTGGTGCAGATTTGGTCAGCCGAATGGAACAATGTGTGGAGCCTTAGCGGAATAGCGGACCTGTTCTCTTTGTGAGAAGATTGTACATAGGGTTGGTGCAAGCTTGGTGATTGAAGTGGGACTTTAAGGGACGCTGGACCCACTTTCCAGCACGAGCCGAAGCTGGGTAATGGCCCCAGTATCTCCAGGTAGAATTGTGAGGACCCCAGCCTCTTAAGTATTTTGAAATGAATCATTGACTTTCTTCAAAAAAAAAAAAAATAATAATAAAATAAAAAGGGTACCGGTCCAAGTAGCCTGACTCCAGAGCCTGCAGAAGGGGATATGGGACTGCAATGATGTTTCCCTCCGAAAGTGGGAGGTACCGGGTAGACTTAGAGGTGCCGCGGCCTTGAAGCAACTCTGCGAGGAGAGAGGTGAAGTGCTCCACATCATTGGCTTGCATGCAGTTTGGAGGCACGCTGGTGGAGCGGGCAAAACCAGCTGAAGCAGCGCTGGGTGAGGAAGAAGGTGGCCTTGGCCTTCTACCTCGGCTATGGTGAAGAGGACCAAGGAGGAGCATCCAGGGAAGGAGTAGGAGGAGGAAGATAGTGAGCCAGGAGGATAGTGACGGGGGAGCTTACCTGTCTATGGTGGTCTGCATCTTCATCTTCTTCGTGGGCACGGCACCTGGAAGGCCCCAATTGGGGCTGGCACCTACAAGGAATGTCGGTCATCGTAGGAGGGGCATAGTAGCTACGTGTTGTCCTTTGAAAATCGGACCTTCACTCGAGTTTTCCGCCAAAGCCACCTGATCGACCAAGTAGGAGAAGTATGTATGAGATGGCTATGGTGGGCCTCTTGAGTGGCTGCCAGTAAGGGGAGGATTCAGACATTGGTTCTGGTTCATTCTTTCATTGTTATTGTTATTTTTGTTAAGAAGAAGTTGGGGGAGTAATTGGAGGATGAAGATCATGGCAAGACGGGGATTGACATTGGTCCTTGCTGCTCTTCTTCTTCTTCTTCTTCTTCTTCTTCTTCTTCATTTGTCTATTTCTCTTTCCAGGTTCTTTTGTTTCAGTTGCAATTGATTCTATGAGTTTTTTCATGGCAAGATAGTCAGGATCATAATAATTAGTATCGGAGCTGTACTTATTTGCTGGCGAAAGGTGGAGTGTTGTTACCCTAACCCTAGTCGGAGTTGAACAGGACAATTAAACTTGGATTAGGGTTGGTTAAGTAGGAAAGTGGGGTGGCGAGGTATGCGGGAGCTCCCCCCACCTGGTGTAGCGCTTGTAGCCTTTTTGTAGGGTCGACTTTGACCGTGACCAGGTTCGACCGAGACCAGGTTCGACCGAGTGGAAGTATGGGGTGGCGAGACACAGGGAGTGTCAGTATGAGGTGTGTTATGATGGAGGAGAGAGTGAGTGGTGACTCGCACGTGGACTCTTAAGGATAGGAGTACATCAAGCGACTACATGGCTTCTCTCCAAGAAGGCCATCTTGCTGGTGAAGTGGCTATGGCGGACTATCACCGAACGACTTCAAGTTGCTGATTGATCTTGGACATCGACATGGGACGCGACGGTGTCCTTTGGTGTGTAGAGTAGACCCTCCTAGTGGATAGGTACACTAGAGTAGAGGTGACACTCCTAGGTGTAGAGTAGACCCTCCTAGGTGATAGGTACACTAGAGTAGAGGTGACCCTCCTAGGTGTAGAGTAGACCCTCCTAGGTGATAGGTGATAGGTACACTAGAGTAGTGGTTGCTCATTGAGTCAGAGGAGGATGTCGGAGAGGGGAGGTTGAGTTGTTCTTCATCTCAGTAAGTGTCGTGTAACTGGGGGATGCCCATAGTGAGTGCATGGAGCTGCATTGCTTGATGGGTGTGATGGGGTTCTTTTCCTTTTCTTTTCTTTTTTCTTTTTTCTTTTGATGGAGTTCTTTTCCTACTCTTTGTAATCTTGACTGATGAGAATGCGTTTGTGGATTGCTCTCTCACCAGATGCATGGATGGATGGATGGATGGATGGATGGATGGATGGATGGATGCGAAGTATCTTGATTAGCATTTCTTATATTCCTTCGATGATGCTTTCATCTTTCATTTTGAATTTGGTTATAACTGAGTAGGGACTATCTGTGCTTTGTCTTTTCTTTTTAATATCTCAGGGGATAGCTTTAGGATGAATGCTCTTGAGTTCTTTCTCCCGGGGTCAAGGCGCCTTCCCCTTGGGGAAGAGGTTAGGCTTGCTGGCCTACCCGGGGGCATGCGTACCCAGTGGTACCCTAGCCCAGTGACAAAGGACCTTGTTTGCCACCAGATCTAAGGCCACCACACACAGTTCTCCGACATATTGCTACCAGTGAAGCAGTGGTACCCTAGCTCGACATTGAGAATTTATAGACGCTAACGCGCCTGAGGGTAACCGCAACCTGACGGTTGCCTCATGTTTTTGAATCAATTGAGCAAAAGTCCCTGCAGCCCGAACGAATTTGGCACCTTGGCCTGGATTCCATTCAATATTATATATCGTCAAATAGAACTGCCCGGTAAACCGTAGGCCTGTCTCTTATACACATCTAGATGTGTATAAGAGACAGCATTTTCAACACCGCCAAAAAAAAAAAGTCATCAAAGAAATCTGAATAAAAGATATGTTATGGAGAAAACTAAATTAAACAAGATTTGCCTGAACATTACGTCCGAATTTCGTACCAAATTTGAAATAAAAATAAAATACACAGAATAAATACTAATAATAAAAATAAATAAATAAAAAAAGAAAATTAAATTTAGTGAGTGCGCGAGCATGTTTTTGACACCGCCATCTTTGGCGATTTTTCATTTTTTTTGGCATAGCTAAATGCCCTGAAAATTTACAGATGTGTTCTTCACATAATACAAAACCCACTAAAAAAGTTTCAAAAAATAATAAAATTGATTAGACCCCGAACTAAAGTGAAAACAAAAAGCAAAAAGGGAAAAAAGCGTGGGCGAGCATGTTTTGACACCGCCATCTTTGGCGATTTTTAATTCTTATTTGGCTTATCCAAATGAATGGAAAATTTATAGGCATGTACCTCACGTCATAGAGAATTCATGAAAAAAAAATTGAAAACAAAAAAATCATTTTTAGGCCCCGAAATAAGTTTTGGCGGGGGCCGAACGCCGTGGGGTTCGGACCCCGTACGGGACCCCGAACGCCCAAACGTACGGAGGTCCGCCCGGGGGCCTCC